CAAGCGCAGATCCTTCTCTCACCATTTTCTGGCATCCGTTAGATGTGGTCGACGAATTCATTTATCTTGGGAGTTGTCTTAGTATTGGCGGTTTTCCAGATGAGATCCTTGCTTGTCTCCAAGGCTAGAGTCGCTTTCGCTAACTTTCGTCACCCGTGTCTTAAATTTGACCTCAGCCTCGCTTTCAAGAGACAAGTGTACAATGCTGCGGCACGAGCGATTTCGCTGCATGGCTGTGAGACTTGGTCCGTTCGTAAAAGCGATGTTCAGCGGTTATCTATCTTCGATCACCGCTGCCTTCGAAGCATGCTGGTGTTCGATGGTAGCGATACATTCTAGTTACCTGGAGATTCCCCCGTACGACTGTGTAAACTACCGTTATATATATATATTATTATAATATATATATATATATTATATATATATATATATATATATATATATATATATATAGTTGGCGGCATCCGGTTTCTGATTTGCCTGTCACTGTGGCAAGCCACTGGACGCCTGCGCCTACAGAGGGACCATGGATGGCTTGCGCTGCACTACCCACAGCTCCAACCACACACCCCATATCCAGTGTAAACCCGAAGGAATAAGACCGGGAGGCATGCGGATGGGAACCACGTTTCATCATCGGAGCCGGCCGACACTCCTTCACAGGCAAACACAAGCACGCTGTATTTGGGAATCAAGCGCACACATGGCGGTGGCTGGACCGCAGTCCGTTCCACACTGATTGCATGGGACCACTCTTCGAACCTAACACGGCCACAAGGACCGTGCACCCTGTCCCCTCCAGCAACGACCAACTGTCTCCTGGAGCCAGTATGGACGAGGTAGTGGGTGATAGACAGGTAGGCACCTTGTCAACATGCACATCAAGCGCATCCACACCGGGGATATCAAACAACAGTCAAACACTTGAGCGAGAAAGAGAGAAAGAAAAAGAAAAATAGAAAAACTCGCTTAATGCATAAGGAAACGGTGATATAAACCTTTATTAAATAGCATATGTAATACGTTGTTTACAAACAAATCCTAGTTAAGTGCACGAGGTCAGGAAATATAGTTCACGGAATGCCACGAACACAAAAATGTTATGGAAATCGAATACAATTGGCTGAAGCGATGTGTGCAAGTTAATGGAATAGAGTACCAGTAGACATTTATATGAGAAAGAAAAGCATTAAGGCACAAACTGTAAACCCACCACCTGAAATAAAGAGACTTAGCATGCAAGCACACGGTTAGTAAATCGAATTCAGCATGCCTACAAACACTGCGCAGGTGCTGCCTTCGTTCACTGCTGGACCCGTCGTCGCTTCGGCAGTGGTCCCGAGTGACCTCTCTCATGGCTCACTAGGCCTGCCTGACTAAGGCACTCGCGACCGCATGTTCTACCGCACCATGCGCTCGATGTCGATGGAGTACAATTCATCGGTGCTTGTCGCTTCCGCACTTGCCGCTCCTTCTCTGCATGCATGAGGGCTTTCTCCCGCACTTCAGCAACTGCCTTCGTGATTAGATCGCGCCATGAACCACGATTAACCGCCTTCGATTCCCATGATCATGGGAATATATATATGGACATCATAACTTTCTTATGTATTACGGGATTAGGCGGTTTGCTTGTTAAAACGTTTTCCCGTTCGTTGGTAACACGAATAAGGTATCCGCCTTCGGCGCGCGAGACTCGGCTGCGAACGACGCCCCCTCCACGCACTTGACGCCAAATATATCCACCCTAGCTAGCTCTCTTCTAGTGCCCTATTTTTAGCGTTAGCAAACTCTCCTCACCTCCAATAAACTTTCCTAGCTTACTTTTGTGTGTTCTGCCCGGTGCATTGGTTTGGCCGTCTAGTTTCGTACCGAATGTATAGCGCACGATACTCGCGCTAAAATTTGTGACCCTCATTAAAATGTTTTCAGCGGGTTTTATACTAATATTGCTTTTAAGATCTGATAACTTATTCTGTCTGCCCACCTACTTTTACTTTTAACCATTTGGGTTCACTTTCTCAAGCTCCATATTTTATGCACCATATAAGTCATTCACCGAGATCCTGACGATCCATTTAGTGGGTTCCGTTTCCCTATCCCAACTTTGCGAGGGGCTAATACTAAGGCCTGGTTTAATCAGCTAGAATCCATTTTTTCTTCACATGGCGTTAAGCCTAACACTGTCAGATTGCACTGTGTTGTCGCAGCGCTTCCTCCGCAAGCCGTCGATGGACTCGACGACACCTTGGACCTACCCGAAAATCAGAAGAGTTACGATGGGCTTAAGACCGTAGTCTTAAAACGATTCGGCTTATCAACCCATGCTTGCCTTACGCAGTTTCTTAATGAAACCGAGCTGGGTGATCGAAAGCCTTCTCAGTTGCTGCACAAGATGCAGCCTCTAGCTAAACCTCTCTCTGTTGGCGACTCTTCCCTTAAAGGGATGTGGATTCATCGCCTGCGAAGGGACATGCGTAACCCTCTGTAGGCAAATGACGCACCTCTTTCTCAGCTCGCCGACAAATCCGACCGTATTGAGGAATCCAATGCCCAAGTATCTCAGGTTCAGACTACTTCTAGTAAAGAGGTTGCAGTACTAAGCTCGCAAGTAGCGGCACTTACCAACTAGCACAGTTCGGATCCCACCGCCGGAATCGTTCCAGCAGTCGCACTCGTCCTAGATCACGTTCGAAATCTCCCCCTAGGTTGAGCCATCTTTGGTACCACGAGCTAGTTGGTCACCGGGCCCGGTCGTATCGCCCGCCCTGTTACTTCAGGCGAAACGCGCAGGGAAACGGCCGGTCAGCAAGTAGGGGCGACGGATGTTGCTGGCTGCCCCAGTCGCCTCTTCATTGTCACCAATCACAGTACGGGAATACGCTATCTCGTTGACACGGACACAGAAGTCAACATTATCGCACGTGCTTCTTATCGTGTATTTGAAAAGGCGACTGGTTTACTGCGCGCAGCAGACGACACCACTATTCGCGTGTAAGGTCAAAGCTCGAGCATGCTTAAGTCAAACCTACGACGTACTTAGAAACGGAGCTTTCTCGTCGCAGATGTCCGGAGGCCATTCCTTGGCCATGAGTTTGTGCAGCCCTTCGATTTGCTTGGTATTGCGAAGCAACGCCGTCTGATCGATTGTCAAATAAATCTGGCAGTTATAGGTATTTTGACCAAGATTGTGGCAAGCAGTCCTGTATACGTCAGCCAGTCAAGCTCACTTGACGGTCAGAAGCTTGATACCAAGTTCCCGCAAGTCTTTCGTGCAACGGCATCGTATCCATCCGCCACTGGTACTGCAAAAGATAACATCGTTACCAAAGGTCCGCTGGTTTTCATCAAATCCAGGCGAATGACCCATGACAAGCTAAAAATTGCTCGCGCAGAATTCGAGCACTTGCTTGAACTAGGCAGTGTCCGCTTGTCTAAAAGCCCGTGGGCGTCGCCGCTCCACATGGTGGCCAAAATGTCAGGAGACTAGCGTCCATGTGGTGAGTACCGCGCGCTCGGTAACCTTACTCTTCCCGATCGCTATTCTATTCCTTGCATTCAGGACATCCCGGCAAGTTTGCGCGGCACCCGTGTGTTCTCGAAAATCGATCTGGTTTGCGCGTAGCATTAGATCCCAGTCGCTGACGAAAACATACCGAAGGCATCCGAAATTACGCCGGTTGGGCTCTTCGAATTTTTGCGTATGCTGTTCGGTCTTCGCGCAGCAGCTCAGAAATTTCAGCGATTCATCCATTCAGCCAGTAGAGGTCTAGCTTTCGCCTAGCTTATTTGCCAGCGCTTCTAAAGATCAACACGCAAAACATCTCAAAATTTTCTTCCATAGGCTGACGTCTAACAGTAACAAAATCAACCCCTACAACTTCGTATTTCAGCAGCCTTCCGTCTAATTTCTTGGCCAAATTATTGCTCAGCATGGCATACAGGCTCTAGCCGATAGAGCCCGCGCCATCAGAGACTTTCCAGGCAAGATTACGTTAGCTGCTATTGTTAGACCATCACCTTCTCTCGCTAATCCTAATTACCCACCCAAAAATTTTCGCATAATATTCCAGCCCAGCCGAAGATAAAGTAAACCTCCAGCGACCTTGACCACGTTGGCTTGACTTTGAACTTGGTCCGCTTCACTGAACTCCTGAAAATTTGGCTTTTGTCACTTTTCTTGTGATCCAAAAGGACTTGGAAGCGCTAAATTACCTATACGGTTCTCTGCCGTGTATAGTAGTGCATGCAAACCACGTTCATTCTACCCATCCTACCCAAATACTTTCGCTCAAGTATTTTCTACTGCTGCTAAAGACTGACTGCTACATTGGATCTGGCGTTTTTGCTTTGTGGCATCAAGATACTGCAGTCTGCTGTAGCACTTTTCCTGACTGACTCGACTTTGAATCGCCTGGCTCGTATTCCAGTCACAACCAAATCATTCCTGACGTCGCTACGGTCCGCCTTTCCACATCTAACCCTTCTACCAGCAAGTGAACCAGGGCTTTCGACTCTTCGACTTTTGGGCTGCTATCTTTGCTGCTGCATACTTGAACCTACCCGTCCCAAAGGCTTCTTGTCTTCCGTGAGTTTGTTCTTTGCTGTTTTCTCCTGCATCTGCTTGCTCGTTTCGCTTTTTGCTTATTCTTGGTTCCACCTTCCAAATAACTATGGCTTTCGATACTAACGATAAATGTGGCGAGCACAGTTGTGGCACTGCAGTCACGGAAGGCATACAGTGTGACCGATGTTTATTATGGTATCATAGCACCTGCTCTAGGTTAGACCATTCGTCCATTGATCTGTACACCCAGCATCCCCAACTGAAATGGATCTGTTTTCACTGTGTGTGCCTAGCTGATACTTGTGCTCGCTTATTACGCGAGCGGCTTGCTGCTCCTCCACAGTTGCCTGATGTTCAGAGGGTAGCTGACGCGAAGTATCTGCAGCGGCTCTCCACCGCAGAAAAAGTGATCAGCGACCAGGCTTTGCTCATAGATGCACTGCGAGTGAAGATTGACGAGTTGCGCGATTCTTTAAATAGCTACGCTCAGAGCGCGGAGATTGCCATGGGCAGGCAAAGAAATGTTCTTATCTACAATCGGGAGGAGCCGGTGATACACGAGGCAAAGGCTCGACGAGACCTGGACAGGAGACGAATACACGACATCCTCCGCATAGCCGGGATACCTTTAAACGTCGGTATCAAAAGGGTGCATCGTGTAGGTAGCTGGAGAGAGACTGGTCCACTGCGTCAGCAAGGATTTGCTAGGCCGATTCTGGTTGAATTTAGGAACCCTGTTTATCGTGACCAAATGCTTAACCGAGCCGGCTTAATCGAGAGTCAGACTAATGGCCGGTATCAGGTGGCCCCGGACACACTTAGCTCACATGCCAAGGTCCCGCGGGTATGTCAGTCGGAAGATACTAATAACCGCTTGGCTGGCGTGTCTGCGACCTTGGTTAAGGGTGCTCCTTTACGTGGTCCCCGCATTGCATCAGTGCCTACCAGGGATGATTGTCCCACTGCAGCGGAGGTCGTTCCTTCGAACTACCACACCACAAATTCAGTATCAGATGCAGGTACCGCGAAAGGTGCTTCCTCACAAGTTAGTTCACCCGGAGGTACTTACAGCCGATTGATTGTATACCCTGCATCTCCGGCCGCTGGGGTCAGAGTCAGTCAGCAACATGCCACGATCACACCAAAAGGAACTGGGTGGGATTGCACTCCTACCACAGCGGCAGTTGGCTGCTCGAGTCCTCAAACAATGCAGGTTGCAAAGGGAATAAGTCGCGAGTTACATGTGACAACGACCAAAGTTTCTCTGAACGGAAGTACGACTTCCAACTTGTTACCCGGGGAAAGTTGCGGGGTTGCGGACATGAACTTACAGGTGGCGCATCCAGGACTATTTGATGCCGCTCGCATAATGTCAGCTGCTTCGGAACTCAAGGACACTACGTGCATCCCGGTGATTGGTTTGGGAAACCAGCGCTGTGAACGTCCCAAGGCTGACCTTCCAGGAAATTCGGAAGGCAGCGTTGCTAGACCTTCTAAGTTAAAGAGAAAGAAGCAAGTTGGTCGTTTACGAAACAACTCAAATCGGACGGAACCTGACAAGGTTTCTGCTCGTGTTGACCTACATGAGCCTAATCTTGACCCAGCATTGCAGGCGGCGAACGATAATGACACGGTGTCAAAAAACGGGTTGTCCCCTCGGGTGCTGCGCCCGAGGGGAAACAACCGCGTCAAGCAGGACTAATTGTATGGTATACCAATTGCTGCAGTGTGAGGAACAAATGGGGAGAGATGGTGAGGCGCTGCGGATGTGCTGATGTTGTTGCCTTGACAGAGACATGGCTTTCTCCGAGCGACATGGTTAGCGACCTGCTGGTAGATTTCGTGAGTTACCGAGTAGATAGGCCTGATCACCACACTGGCGGGGGAGCACTATTGCTTGTAAAGCGCCAGTATAGTCATTGGGAGGCTCCGTTTATGATGAGTAATACGAACGTTCAGGTGGTGTCTTGTTACTTAAGGATGATGGGCAGGTTGGAGATCTTTATATGTGTCTACCGCAGTCCATCGTCCACACGAGAGGAGGACAAAGAGCTCGGTGCACTATTGAGGCGCGCAGTGGTTGCTGCGCCTAATTTCCTAATAATTGGTGATCTAAACCTTCCTCATGCGGATTGGCAAGGCACCGCAAACAGAGCGGATACATTGGAACAGGAACTGGTTGACTGGATGCATGAGAATGCACTTGAACAATACATCAATATGCCGACCAGGAGCCGAATCGGGAGTGCCCCCTCCACGTTGGATGTTGCCATCACCAAACACGGTCGTTTCGCAGAGCTACAAGTGGAAGCACCTTTAGGTAGGAGTGATCACTGCGTCCTCACTTTCTGCCTAAATACCTTGAAGCCTGCACGACATCCTCGCCTCGTGAGAAATTTCAGCCGCATCGACCATATGAAATTGAGGGATAGAGCCCTCCAGGTCAATTGGATCCCTGACCAGGAACAGGCATCTTTGGAACAAAGGTGGTCTGTGCTTAAAACTGGTTTAGTACAACTATTGAATGAGTTTGCTCCTCTTCGTCCTGCGAGACATTTCAGCAGGCCTCGCTGGTGGAGGAGGAGAATTGATAGAGCTCTAAAGAGACGGAATGAGAAGTGGAAAAAATTCAATGAGGCCAGGGGCTTTCGAAGATGGCTGCAGTACACAAAAAGCCGGAATACGGCTATCAAGATGCAACGGCAGGCTAAATACTCTTATGAGCTTCGGCTGGCTCGGTATGCGAAAACAAATCCAAAGTGTTACTACGGCTATGTTCAGTCTAAAGCCTCCCTAAGAGAGGACGTTGGGTGTCTAATTATGGAAGATGGCAGCCAGGCTGTGGAAGCCAGAGATAAAGCTGAAATGCTGCTAAGAGTCTTTCAGAATCTGCATAGGAGGGACAATGGATGTGCTGCACCATCGCAGCCACACTGTGTCAGCAGTTGTATAATGCAGGACATCGTGCTGACTGCGCAAGAGGTCTTTACTGTGATGACTAACTTGAATCCCTTCAAATCAGCCGGTCCTGACGATGTACATCCGGCAATAGTCAAGCCACTAGCTGACATCCTTCAACATCCTGTTCTGGAGCTGTTCAACTTGTCGCTCCAGGAATGCAAGTTGCCACGAGACTGGAAGGAAGCAGCCATAGTTGCAATTCACAAGGGTGGCTCCAAATCGGAGCCCCTTAACTACAGACCCATCAGTCTAACCTGTGTCCTGCTCAAGTGTTTAGAGAAGCTTATAAGAAACCGGATTTGTGAGCATTTGGCGGAACACAGTCTACTTAGAGCAGAGCAGCATGGTTTCATTAAAAAGAAGTCGTGCCTCACTAATCTACTGTGCTTCCTCGATGAGATTACTCGATGTCTTGACGACGGGATTCCGGTAGAGGTCTGCTATCTTGACTTTAGCAAGGCTTTCGACTCAGTAAATCACCGTTTCCTACTTGAAAAATTAGCATGGTTCGGAGTACATCCTAGACTTCTGTCTTGGGTGTCAGAATTCTTATGTGGGAGAACGTTTCGAGTTAGAATCGGTGATGTGAGTTCTAGTGTGGGCGTGGCCTACAGTGGAGTACCCCAAGGATCGGTGCTAGGTCCACTTTTGTTTCTTATGTTTATAAACGACTTGGCTCCTCTTATTGAAGACCCCTGTTACATCTTTGCGGATGACTTGAAGCTAGTCAGCAGGGGCAACCGTGCAACACTGGCCAAGGATATCATCAGTGTGGCAAACTGGTCGAAGCAATGGGACTTGCCCTTGAATGCAAGCAAGTGCCAAATTCTGACCACTAGTAGAGACGTACTTGCAGTTCAGACTTCCTTTGGGCCCTTCCCCTTACAATGCACTACCCAGGCACGCGATTTAGGAGTCATCATGACGAGCAGCTTCAAGCCTTCGATACAATGTCGATACGCCGCCAACAAAGCGCGACGAGAATTGTTTCGCCTCAGGAGGGCTCTGTGTAATACCAAGCCAGAAGTGTTCCTGCCACTATACAAAGCAGTGGTTAGGCCACACTTAGAGTATTGTGTTCAAGCTTGGTCGCCCTATCTCCGTGATGATGTTCTTTGCCTGGAGAAGATTCAAAGACTAGCAACCAGGATGGTTGAAGGTCAACGGGGGAAGCCGTATGAAGATCGCCTAAAGAGCCTGGGGTTGTTTTCCCTTGAACGGCGTAGACTGAGAGGCGATCTGATAGAAACATTTAAGATCATGAAGGGCTTCAGTGCCATCGTGCCCTCTGATTTATTTGAGCTGGCTGATTCTGAACGCTTGCGTGGACATCGCTTGAAGCTCAAACAACAGAGAGCTAGACTGAACGTCAGGGCTAAGTTCTTCTCAAATCGTGTAGTGCGCAACTGGAATAAGTTGCCTTCGGAACTAATGGATTGTGAGACTGTGGTTGCCTTCAAAGCAGGCCTAGACAGGTGCTGGCCGCGTATTTTTCCGGAATTAATATAATCCTATCCAATTTATTCGCATTGTTATCCGATGTTGATCCTTGTAAAAGCAAAGATTGCTCTCGCTTTTGCTTCATTTCTTTTTGCAGAGGCAAGGAGAGGCGATCAAAAGTCGAAGTATCGGGGGCTCTGGTTCGCTTACCGGTACAAGAAGCTGGACGCTCGTTAGGCGGAAGCCTGTATCGTCCACGGATTTTGACCTGACC